ATTAGCGGATCATTTGGCTGAGAACCCGATTGATGATGAGTACCAACCTTTGAGAGCTTACTTTCGAGATGAAGAAGTAAATTCAGTTGAGGCAATAACTGAAGACACTCATGCTTGGTAAATGTTCTTTGATGGGGCGGTAAACGCAAAAGGTGTCGGAATTGGGGCAATTTTGATCTCACCCACTGGTCAGCACTATCCAGCCACAGCTCGGCTTCGGTTCTTCTGTACAAACAACACCGCCGAGTATGAAGCTTGCATTATGGGTATAAACATGGCAATCGACCAAAATGTCGAAGAGTTGTTGATCATGGGAGACTCAGATCTGATTATCCAGCAAGCCCAAGAAGAATGGGAAACCCGAGATGTTAAGCTTATCCCTTACAAGAAGCATGTGGAAGATCTCAGCAAGCGATTCAAGTTAATAGAGTTCAGGTATATTCCTCGTTGTCACAACGAATTAGCCGACACACTTGCTACTTTGGCCTCAATGCTGCCCTATCCAGGCAATGCTCACATAGATCCCTTGGAAATTCAAATCGGGGAAAGGCATGGTTATTGTAATACAATTGAAGCATCACCAAATACCCAACCATGGTACCATGACATCAAAAAGTTTCTGAAAACTCAAGAATACCCCGACCAAGCCAGTGGAGACCAAAAGAGAACCGTTAGACGGCACGCGAGTGGTTTCTTTTTGAGTGGGGATATCTTGTACAAGAGAACTCCGGACCTCAATTTGTTAAGATATGTTGACGCAGAAGAGGCTGGAAGAATCATGCATGAGGTACACGCGGGAGTATGCGGCCCCCACATGAATGGGTACGTTTTAGCAAAGAAAATCCTTCGAGCGGGTTATTAGTGGATGACCATGGAAAATGACTGTTTTAGTTTCGTTCGGAAGTGTCATCAGTGTCAGGTGCACGGTGATTTGATTCATGCACCTCCCACAGAACTGCATCCCATGTCTGCACCTTAGCCATTTGTTGCCTGGGGCATGAACATCAATGGGCCAATCGAGCCAAAAGCCTCAAATGGACACAGATTCATACTAGTTGCCATTGACTACTT